GTCAAATAGTTTCAAATTTAAAATAAATAGTCAAATGATTCAAATTTAAAATAAATAGTCGAATAGTTTCAAATTTAAAATAAATAGTCAAATAGTTTCAAATTTAAAAATAAATAGTCAAATAGTTTCAAATTAAAATAAATAGTCAAATAGTTCAAATTTAAAATAAATAGTCAAATAGTTTCAAATTTAAAACTAAATAGTCAAATAGTTTAAAATTAAAATAAATAGTCAAATAGTTTCAAATTTAAAAATAAAAGTCAAATAGTTTCAAATTTAAAATAAATAGTCAAATAGTTTCAAATTTAAAATAAATAGTCAAATAGTTTCAAATTTAAAATAAATAGTCAAATAGTTTCAAATTTAAAATAAATAGTCAAATAGTTTCAAATTTAATATAAATAGTCAAATAGTTTCAAATTTAATATAAATAGTCAAATGATTTCAAATTTAAATAAATAGTCGAATAGTTTCAAATTTAAAATAAATAGCCAAATAGTTTCAAATTTAACAAATAGTCAAATAGTTTCAAATTTAAAATAAATAGTCAAATAGTTTCAAATTTAATATAAATAGTCAAATAGTTTCAAATTTAATATAAATAGTCAAATAGTTTCAAATTTAATATAAATAGTCAAATGATTTCAAATTTAAAATAAATAGTCGAATAGTTTCAATTTAAAATAAATAGTCGAATAGTTTCAAATTTAAAATAAATAGTCAAATAGTTTCAAATTTAAAACAAATAGTCAAATAGTTTCAAATTTAAAATAAATAGTCATGTTTTAAAAAAAAACATAGAAATTGTTTAAAAAAAAAATTATCAAAAAATATTGTAAGTCATCAGAACATGCTTTAAATCTGAAAAATGTTTAAAAATAGTCAGAAAATGTTAATAAAAAATAGAAAATGTTTAAAAGTGTCAAATATAGTATTTGTCAGAAGAAAATATTGTGAATTGCTAGAAAAAATATAAATGTATAAAAAAGTGAATGTTAATGCATTTCAAAATTTTAAAATCAATTAAAAATCCTAATATTAACTAATTACTATACGACAAAACAGTAAGATTGACAGGCAACATTTCTTCGAATTACATATCGAGGTTTTATATGGGGCATCACGTGCTGTCGTAGAAGTCAGAGAAATAGAAATTATAGCAAAAATGGAAAATCGAACCAGATGTTACCAAATCCCAACATCTTATCGTTTCATTAAGAAGCACCACACAAAGCCTGCCAATAAAAAATCTAATAATGCAAACTAAATTGGAAATGTATATAAATAGATTTAAAATGAAGGACCTGAACTGGCTCGTCCAAACTTTCATTACAAAATAAGCTTCTCGAGGATAATTCCAATATTGAAACAATATTTGTATAATTTAGAAAGCCCAAAACAAAATACTGAGAATGATTTGCAGCATTTGATGGGTTTATATAATCCACGAAAACCTAAAAATTCCCAATAGAAGTCATTGGTTGATTGTTCGAGAGAAATTGGATGCATATGTCAATCCCAGTCAGTCAAAAAACTAAAGGGCCTGAAGAGAAAATGGCTCAGTGATCAGAAGCTTAATGTTTCAAGACAAATTGGATGCATATGTCAATCCCAAACAGTCGAAAATTAGCATACTTTAAAAAAATGGATGCATGTATGTGGGTCAAAAATGTTAATGTTTTTAAAAAAAATAATTTTTGGTACTGGAAGCTTCAGCAATTTGCCTTAAGGAACGATGCCGTGCGTTCCACTGGTTTTATTTCGATTTTCAACATCTTTACTTGTAACTTACAGGTTATGTTGTAAAAATATAACCCATAAGTATATATATATATATAACCTATAGGTATTAAAAAAATCTGAATTGGAAATCGATGCATCAAAATTGACTACTAAATCACGTATTTTGTCAGAAGATATTGTAAATTGCTAGAAAATATAAATGTATAAAAGTGTGAATGGTCTAAAAATCAAACTAAAATAAAATAAAATCTCCATTTTAACTGCATTTCAACATTAGTAAGATTGACATGGGAACATTTCTTCAAATTGCATATCGAGGTTTTTATTTGGAGCCTCACGTGCTGTCAAAAAAGTCTGCAAGGAGGGCATAATAAATAAAAAAAGGGTAATAAATAAATAAACCTTGAGCATCTTTTGCTCACTAAGAGAAACAGAATAATAGCTAAAAAATGGAACATCGAACCAGATGTTACCAAATACCAACATCTTATCGTTTCATTAAGAAGCCACACAAGGCCTGATAAAAAATCTAATAATGCATGTAGATAGTAAACTAAATTGGAAAATGTACATAATAATGAAAAAGGAATAAATAGATTTAAAATTGAAGTACCTGAACTCATAGGATGATCATCCAAACTTTGATTACAGAATAAGCTTCTCGATGATAATTCCAATATCGACACATGGTATATAACATATTTGTATAATTCAGAAAGCCCAAAACAATATACTGAGAATGATATGCAGCACTTGATGGGTTTATATATAATTCACGAGGACCTAAAAACTCCCAATAGAAGTCATTAAAAGCAGAAGGTTGATTGTTCGAGACAAATTGGATACATATGTCAATCCCAGTCAGTCGAAAAACTAAAGAGAAAATGGCTGAGTGATCTATGATCCAGAACATAATTCTGCAAGTTATTTATAATTATTATTTGCTCACTTATTTAATTCTATTTCTTTTACTACATTTTTTAACTCCCCTTAGGGTAAGTTATAGTAATCGTGAGGTTTCTAGACATTTTGACATACATTACAAAAATGGATGTATGTGTGCGTGTCAAAAATGTTAATGTTTTTAAAAATAATTTTTAGTACGGGAAGTTCCAGCAAGTTGCCTTAAGGAACGATGCCGTGCGCCCCACTAGTTTTATTTCGATTTTCAACATCTTTGCTTGTAACTTACAGGTTATGTTGTAAAAATATTACCTATAAGTGTATATATAACTTTTAAGTATAAAAAATCTGTATTGGAATTCGATCCATCAAAACTGACTACTAAATCACAAGCAAGAATCAGCACGAACCCATAAAAATCGTTTCTAACAAAACTATCAAATGTCTATATACTAAATGTCTATTACCATACCTTTCTATTACTATCCGATCCGCCGCTCGTGACTTCTAAGGGTGCTCCATTTTTTTTTGCATTACAAAATATTTCTTGCACAACTAACTACATTATTTATATAGCACTCACTTCTTTTTATTGCCATTTGTTTTCACTAGAATCCCATAAAGAACTAAGGCGCCTTCAATAAGTGCTGACAGGTCGCCATTTTGTGCAACTTCAGAGTTTTCGATCGGTGAACAGTAGCGCCACAAAGGGCGCCAATTTCAAATTTGAATTTTGACTAAATGATATATGCAAATTGTTATAACTTTATTTCACATTTGTAACGCATTGCAAATATAATAAGTATTGAAGTAAAACTTTTTTGTTGTTGTATGAGATGGCATTTAAGTAAAAATAAATACATCATATAACAATTTTGAATAACGTTCATGAGTAATATGGTAACACTCGTGATGCACACATTTATTAGTGTCAACCATTATACACATTTATATGATAATGATAAATTATATATTTATAATAGCATTAAAAATATGTATAATATTTACAAACAATAATGTAATTAAAGTCATACTTCGGATATGACATTGTCGGTTTGTCATTGTAATTAGCATTTAAAAATGAACCTTCATTAAAGAAATGAAGTAATGCTGATTAATAAATTCACACAGTAAACTTGTAACAAATAAATAGTTTATTTATAGCATAGATGTCCATTATAAAGTATATATGTATAGAAATGATACAAACCTATACAAACTATTCTTGTGCTTCAACTCTTGTTTAGATTAATAAATCTGAATATCAATTTATTCTTAATTATGCAACTTTGTAATACTTAGCATGATCGAAAAACATGTAGACTTCATCTAAACTACCAAAAATATCTGAGATATAATTCTGAAAAGTATATATCTTAGGCATGATAGAATAAAGGTGTACTGCTTCAATATTTTTATGAGCTATAAAAATGAAGATAATTATTATGTCAAACAACGCCAAATATTGTTCTTGCAACTTCACTCATCATGTAATAATTCTGTTTGAAGAACTTCATGTAATTAAAATTAACATACATTCATTGGCTGATGGTATTTTTTTTACTTATTTGTTGACGATATAATCTCAGTCCGAGCAGCTATAAAACCTGTCTTGACTGAAAAATATTTTCTATTTTGACTTGTTTTTTGTTTTAAATCTTGTTTATATATTCATTTAATTATTAATTTGCTCTTATTTAAAATCAAATCAGTGTTAAACTGAACCATATAATATATAAAAGATATACAAAATACAATCAATTTTTATTTATACAAAATACAAAAATTAAACTCATATTAGTATTGCTCCTATTATTTTTTTACAGACAGAGGAATACCTTGAAATTAAATTAATAACAAAAATATGCACATACTTTATTTATTTAATAAAAAAAAAACTTTCTGTTTAGTTTTACAATTGCGTTCGACTTTCAACACTAAAGAGCACTTATATATATTTTTTTAAATCATTTCCTCTTGTTCAACCATTTTGCAACAATGTCTTTGTTAACTTTTAACCATTTTATATTATTGGAAACAGTTTCCAGGGCTTGTTTCCGAGCAGCAGCTCCTGCTCCGGCCTCCGGAAATTTGGCAAAGAAGTCAATCATCTGAAAAATTAAATTTTAATTCGGGACATTTTTTGGTTTTTGTCAAATAACTCAAATACTTCATATAAAACCACCCCTTTTCAATTACACAGGGTGAAACTAGATAAAATTTACAACATTTCCTAGGTCACACTTTTATACACTCCGATATAAAAATTTTGAATAAATGATAATTTTGTATCATCTTTCATATCGTCTTTTTACCTCTTTCAGCCTATCCTCAGTAGTAAATCTGTCGGTAACAGATGGAATAAGTCTGCCCAAATTTCTTTCCCCCAATCCGATGTCCTGGTTGCATCAGTACTTAAAGGATTTGCAGAAATCGAGGACATGCATTTGAAATAATCCTGCCCTCGAACGTTTTCTTCTAGCCAGGCCAAATCTGTATACCTGGGGAGGAAAATATTGATAAAAATTGATAAAAATTAGATAAAAATTAGATAAAAATTAGATAAAAATAGTATAGAAAGATGATTTTTTGTGCAAAAAGTTTTTTGAAGTTTTGACTAAATATTTAAATAAATAAATGTATATACTCTAGTAGAAAATTATTATTTAAAACCTCTTTTTAGTCAAGAAGGATCTTCTGAGCTAATATATACAACAAAGATTTCAAAATTCGTTAAAAATAATTTAAATTAAATGAAATGGTAATTTTGATACTAATAATTTTTTTTGAAGTTTAAGCTATTTATTTAAGTCAAAAATGTTTATTTTAGTATATATTTGTTAGTTAAAATCGCTTTTATACATATATTATTATCGCATCGTGATATTTCTGAAGTCAATTTAAAGTAGAGTTTGAAAAATTCATAAAAAATATTTGCAACTTGGTAAAGGCTAAGTTTTCAGAACTATATATTATTTTGAGGTTTTAACTAAATATTTAGAATAATATATATATATATATATATATATATATATATATATATACTTTAGTACAAATTTATGATTTAAAATCGTTTTTTATTTAAAATGTCACGAGTAAATTTAAGAAGCAGATAAATCCAATAAAGTTTGAAAATCGTTAAAAATGATTTATATTTAACGAAAAGCATAACTAATAGTGTGAGGGATATTTTAAGGTTTTAACTAAATATATAAATATTAAAATATATAGACCGAGACCAAGACCGAGGAGACCGAGACCGAGACCGAGACCGAGACCGAGACCGAGACCGAGACCAAGACCGAGACCAAGACCGAGACCGAGGAGACCAAGACCGAGACCGAGACCAAGACCGAGACCAAGACCGAGACCAAGACCGAGACCGAGACCAAGACCGAGACCGAGACCGAGGACCGAGACCGAGACCGAGACCAAGACCGAGACCGAGACCAAACCGAGACCGAGACCAAGACCAAGACCGAGGAGACCGAGACCGAGACCAAGACCGAGGAGACCGAGACCGAGACCAAGACCGAGGAGACCGAGACCGAGACCAAGACCGAGGAGACGAGACCGAGACCAAGACCGAGGAGACCGAGACCAAGACCGAGACCAGACCGAGACCAAGACCGAGACCAAGACCGAGACCGGAGACCGAGACCAAGACCGAGGAGACCGAGACCAAGACCGAGGAGACCGAGACCAAGACCGAGACCACACCGAGACCAGACCAAGACAAGACCAAGACCAAGAGACCGAGACCGAGACCGAGACCGAGACCGAGACCGAGACCGAGACCGAGACCGAGACCGAGACCGAGACCAGACCGAGACCAAGACCGAGACCAAGACCGAGACCAAGACCGAGACCAAGACCGAGACCAGACCGAGACCAAGACCAAGACCGAGACCAAGACCAAGACCGAGACCAAGACCGAGACCGAGGAGACCGAGACCGAGACCGAGACCGAGACCAGACCGAGACCGAGACCAAGACCGAGACCGAGGAGACCGAGACCGAGACCGAGACCGAGACCGAGACCGAGACCGAGACCAAGACCGAGACCGAGACCAAGACCGAGACCGAGGACCGAGACCGAGAACGAGACCGAGGAGACCGAGACCGAGAGACCGAGACCGAGAGAGCGAGACCGAGGAGACCGAGACCGGGAGAGCGAGACCGAGGAGACCGAGACCGAGGAGACCGAGACCGAGACCAGACCGAGACCGAGACCAAGACAAGACCAAGACCAAGACCGAGACCAAGACCGAGACCAAGACCGAGACGAAGACCGAGACCAAGACCGAGACCAAGACCGAGACCAGACCGAGACCAAGACCGAGACCAAGACCGAGACCAAGACCGAGACCAAGACCGAGACCAAGACCAGACCGAGGAGACCGAGGCCGAGACCGAGGCCGAGACAAAGACCGACCAGACCGAGAGACCGAGACCAAGACCGAGACCGAGGAGACCGAGACCGAGGAGACCAAGACCGAGACCAAGACCGAGACCGAGACCAAGACCGAGACCGAGGAGACCGAGACCGAGAGACCGAGACCGAGACCGAGACCGAGACCGAGACCTAGACCGAGACCAGACCGAGACCTAGACCGAGACCGAGAGACCGAGACCGAGACCGAGGAGACCGAGACCGAGACCAAGACCGAGACCGAGGAGACCGAGACCGAGACCGAGGAGACCGAGACCGAGACCAAGACCAGACCGAGGAAGACCGAGACCGAGACCGAGACCGAGACGAGACCGAGACCGAGACCGAGACCAAGACCGAGACCAGACCGAGACCAGACCGAGACCAAGACCGAGACCAAGACCGAGACCAAGACCAAGACAGAAGAGACCGAGACCAAGACCAAGACAGAAGAGACCGAGACCGAGACCGAGACCGAGAAGACCGAGACCGAGACCGAGACCGAGACCAAGACCGAGGAGACCAAACCGAGACCGAGACCGAGGAGACCGAGACCAAGACCAAGACCGAGGAGACCGAGACCGAGACCGAGACCGAGACCAAGACCAGACCGAGGAGACCGAGACCGAGACCGAGAGACCGAGACCGAGACCGAGACCAGACCGAGGAGACCGAGACCGAGACCGAGAAGACCGAGACCGAGACCGAGACCGAGACCGAGACCGAGACCGAGACCGAGACCGAGACCGAGACCGAGACCGAGACCGAGACCGAGACCGAGACCGAGACCGAGACCGAGACCGAGACCGAGACCGAGACCGAGACCGAGACCGAGACCGAGACCGAGAGACCAAGACCGAGACCAAGACCGAGACCGAGGAGACCGAGACCAAGACCGAGACCGAGAGACCGAGACCCGAGACCAAGACCGAGACCGAGGAAAACCGAGACCAGACCGAGACCGAGGAACCGAGACCGAGACCAAGACCGAGAGACCGAGACCAAGACCGAGGAGACCGAGACCAAGACCGAGACCAAGACCGAGACCAAGACCAAGACCGAGGCCGAGACCAAGACCGAGGAGACCGAGACCAAGACCAAGACCGAGACCGAGACCAAGACCGAGACCGAGACCGAGACCGAGACCGAGACCGAGACCGAGACCGAGACCGAGACCGAGACCGAGACCAAGACCGAGGAGACCGAGTGGATAATTACTATCAGATACAAGGGATCAAGTTAATAGGTCATAATTTTTATATCTTATTATTTCTGGTGTAAGGAGCAACGAGTGAACTGGGTCTTTTTTCTAATTTGTGAGGATAATTGGTAAATCTTGTTTTCATAAAGTCTTTATTTTATAGCACATTGAGATCATGATGCAGAGTTTTATTACCCACCTACAAGGCTGAACTTGTCTCCATTCTAAATAGTTTTGATGTATTAATGTCATATTAGATTTGCTAGAGCAACCCCAAAGCTCTATTCCGCATGACTAGATAGAAATTATTATCATTTTATAAACCAAGATTTTGTTTTCGAGTGCTAATTTTGAATTATGTTAAAGAAGTCAATGAAATTCCCTAACTGTGGCTTTGGTAATGTTGATTTTTGTTGCGATGTGGTGTTTTTTTGTTAGGTTTTGGTCTAGATGTATTTCTAGGTATTTAACATAATCAGCACTTGGTTTCACCTGCTGTGCAATTAAAACAGTCTTTTGTTATGGATATTTAATCAATTACTGTGAATGTCTTCACTAAGACAGATTAAAATTTGAATGGTAAATAAAACAATATCATGGATATTTGTTATGAGTGTCTTTTAGTTATTAATTCTATAGTATCACTTCTATATTACAATCCAAGTCATCATCAACAGCGCGGCAACGAGTGAATTGGGCAAATTTCAGGATCATTAGTGAATCCTGTTTATATATGTAAAGTCTTTAATATACAGCACAATCAGATCATCATGAAGAGTTATATTACTCACACACAAGGGTGCACTTATCATTCTAAGTAGTTTTGATTAGGTTTGATATACCAATGCCACATTCGATTTGCTATACCAGCCCCAAAGCTCTATTCCGTATGTCCAAATAGAAATTATTATCGTTATATAAACCAAGATTTTATTTTCGAGTGCTAATTTTGAATTATGTTAAATAAGTCAATACATGTACCTAACTCTGGACTGTGTTGTGATGTGGTGTTCCCATGATAGTCTGCAGTTTAGATTAATATCTAGGAATTTAACTTAATTAGCACTTGGTATTACCTGCTGTGCAATTAAATCAGTATTTTCTCATTGATATATTTTATAAGTGTCTCTCCGACCTTAACCTTACATCATCTTTATATCTCACACCAAAAATATCGAATTCATCAATACATTACCCACAGTTTGAATGTATCTGATGCCCTCTTCTCAGCGGGTTCTTTTGGTCGCGTGCGCATACGTTTGTCGGTCTGTAAACAAACGCTACTACTATTCCCAAGTTCAGGGGTCAAGGAGAGGCCACGCGGTATAAATAACGAAGCGACCTACCACAATATTATATACTACAGACATAATACCGCAAAGAACAAGAGAACCACGGATCACGGATGGTACGTGGCGCACGCATAATGTTCATGAAGATAACATATATTGGAGAATAATAATGTGATAGTAATAATAATGAATAATATATGATTGTCTGCTCGGAGGCAAGTCCATTGTGTGAGCGCACTACAAAATCAATAACTGTAACTATTTCATTCGCAATGTTTTTTGTTGAGATTTTTATGAATTTTTTTTCCAAACTTCTACTTCCATGCTTTCCGGTCTTCAGCTTTCAGTTTCCTTCATTTTCTGTCCATGCGTATGCTACAATCGCCTGCACTCTTCATAATACCAGTTCTTTCAGTCCTATTTTACTTTAGATAACGTCGTGTAGGAAGCACTTTTTTGTAAAATGGGTTCAATTTCTTCCAATCAATTTGTGATATTGGATAGTAATAAATCTGTTAGCTAAAAATTATTATGATTGATTCCATATCCATAAATGTAATGGTGAGTGATTCATTT